CTCCAGGACCCTACCTTATTTGTTATCATTGAACAACTTAGGACTTCCTTTGTGAATTAAATAAAATTGGTGATTAAAATCCTTCTTCTTCAATGAATAAACTGATAAACAGAAGTTTCCCTATTTCCTGAACTCCTGTCTCTATGATGCATCCTCATGCTTATAATCCCATACAGTACAGTATCATTATCAGATTGTTCCTAAGTGAGTATATCTTATCTCTACAGAGATTGTACAGTCCATGGAGGCTAGATGCTATACCCAATATTTCTTATCTCCCATAGGTTTTGCACAGTTCGGAGCATTTGCAGTGTTTGTGACATTAAAATCTTTGACCCTGGATATAAGAAGCCAGCTATTTTATTCTAATTCTCAACCTTTGGTGGTGTTTTTAGCCAGCTACCCATGCCTTACTGTATTTCAGAGTAACACCCCACAAATATAGCACCCTATACAAATATATTTTGCATATTATTTGCTCCTCTGTGAGATTTTATTTTATACGCCTGCCTGCTTGATCACCCCTAACCACTCTGTCTGCCTGATTGCTCCTAAACTGCTTGTCTGCCTGCCTGATCACCCCTAACTGCTCACCTGCCTACCTCATTGCCCCTAACCAGTTCTGCCTTGCCCCCCCCCCCCCCCCCCCCCCCCCCCCCCCCCCCCCCCCCAGGGCTTTGTCCAGAATGATGTCTGGAAGGTTGTTCAGCTGGCCTCACCACCAGGGCTTTGTCCCGAAGGATGAAGTCTGGAAGGTTGTTTGGCTGCCTGATCTAATTAGCATATTATGCTTTTATTATTAGAGATGATTTGTTTGGTGTTTGCCTTTATGACAAGGATACTGAATATGTGGGGATTGAGACTGTCCATCTTGCTCACTATTGTCTCCAAGGACTGTCTGGCTTGTGGTTGGCATTTGATAAGTGTCAGTCGAATGAAGTATAATAATCAAGACATTTTGGTTATTTCTTCCTACTCTCCTCCCATATATATGTCCTTTGTGTTTCCCCAATATCTATGTCATTTTTAGAGGAATCAGTGGATAAACATAAACAATTCTGAAGGACATGGCCTCAACAAGGATAATTGTGACATAGTCAACTATTTGACTTCACCAGAACCCTTTAAACTAAGGAAGATATTAATTAAAAACATATCTCTGCTGAGATGACCTCTTATTTAGAAACTGGAAAATACAAACATTTATGCTTCTCACCAGCATGCAGTGATTTTGGCTAGAATGTATGTGGTACTCAGAACGCTATCCACTTAGATATTTATTTGAGCCATAAACACATTTTTAAAAAATAGTGTGCAGTTGCTAAAAAGCAGAAAAAGTGGTATTTCAAAATGAAAACTGGTGCACAAGTAGTTGGCACATCTGGTAGTCAGAAAAGTTATATAGTTTGTTTTTAGCAAATGACAAGCCAAGGAACATTCAAACTTGGCCAGTTGAAACGTTTTTTTGCTATTTGTGACACCTGGTTTTTAAAAAAATTGGCTCCAGACTGAAAGCAGATAGAACATTGGCAATGGGTAGAGAAATAAATAGAATAATTTACTATCTTGTTTTATGCAAGGAATTAGGACTGTTAACTTCAAGAAAGAGAATGAAGCAAAAATGCCATGGCAGTCATGAATAATAATAATAACAACAACAACAACAACAATAATAGCATCTAATATCCATTGAGTACCTACTGTGTTCTAGACTATGTGCTGAGTCCTTTACATGTGTAATTAATACTAGATGTAAAACAACCTTATGAGGTGATATTATTTTTATTTCCATTTAACAGATGAGAGGACACAGACATGGAAATAAAGCATGTTTACATAATGTGCCCAAGTCGCATAACTAGCTGGGGTGGGGATGGGGTGGATGGATCCCAGGTAGGCTAGTTTCGCCCAATTCTGAGTAGTCTGGAGGCATTCATTTTGTCTAGAATTATGAAAAAAAAAATTATTGGATTGAACACAGTGACCCCAGGTCAAATTGTTTGCCTACACTTTTGAGACAAATACTATTTTCCAGAACATTCTCACAACTGTGCCACAAACATTACCTGTTCCTAAGACATTTACCATTTAGCCTGAGGCATCAGGGATGCTATATGTGACACTCAGAAACAGTCACTCCTCTGTGGTTAGATGAGGTTCAACTTGACCAGTGTATTTGGGAGTGGGAGGTAATACAGTAAAAATCACAGAGAGGCTGGGAAGTTAGCAGTGCTGTGGAATCTGTCAAAGGATTGACTTAATTAGAACTTGTTTTTGAAAAATGGCACTGCCTTTTAAAAAAGAAAAACAGGAAAGTTTTTGTGAAAATAATTTGTTAGTATTTAATATTCACGTGTATAACTATCTTTTATTTTTTCTTTTTTAAAATAAATCTTTATTGTTCAGATTATTACAAATGTGTTTCCCTCCCCATCCCCCCCCTCAATAGCTCCCCTCCACCAGGTTCCCACCCCACCCTCTGCTCTTTCCCCACCCCCCATTGTCCTCATCCATTCATTTCTTTTCAACTTCATTGACTGATGTTAGTGTTTGTGCTCTGTTTAGGCCCTGGGCTAAGTGCTGAGGAAGCAGGATTCCTTAAACAAGGGCTTCACCTTGAAAGAGAATTAAAGTATAAATGAGGAGGGGGTGGCAGGAATGTAAATTAACCTCAGTAAAAAGGTATTAATATCTACCTCTACACCAGTTCCTGAACTATTGTAGAGGTAGATACAGTTCCCTGACGGTTTGGGGGTAGATTTTTGTAAGGGACTGTAGGAGAATGAAAAGAAGAATTGCTCATATCTTTCTAGCTGGCAGTTGGGGTGGGTAGTCGGAGAGATGTGACCTTTGAATTAAGACCATGAAGGTGCAGAGATGCTCATTTAGGTAGACAAGTTAGGGTAAGGATGTGGCAGGGCAGAGAAGACCATGAACAAGACAAGGTTAGACATTTCTCAGCCATCATATTGCTATTTATCCATTCTAAGGAGCGCATATTTTCATACCAGCACATCTCTGAAATCTCAACACCATGCACTAGTTTAACTGACAGTTCAGGTTCTTACTGGTACATAAAATAGTGATAGGCCTTACAATATATGGTATCTTAGATTTGATGCAAGAATGTGTGAATATGCTTTGCCTCCAAGTAGTATTTCTTGGGTGAGCTGTTCTAGCTGCTAATGTGTCTTTGTTGTAGAGGTAGATATTAATACCTTTTTTACTGAGGTTAAAACAAGCATGAAATGAGTGAGTTACTTAGGTAAATATATGACATTAAATTTGACAAAATACCTGACATCTGGTTGTAGCTTTTAATAGCCATGACTGGTAGGGATGTGGTCTGGGCTAAGGACCATGGCGATTTTTTCTGAGGTAAAAAGAGACTTGAAAAGCAAATGGCATGTAGTTTTATAAAATATATAAAGATACTAAGTTCATAGTTATTGCATAAAAGTATGTCCATTTTTCTTGATAAGGAAATGAAATCCTGATGATGCATGTTATGTGAGTTATGGAGACAGATAATCCATAACTTACCTTTCAAGGCACTAGATAGAAGATGCATCAGATATAAGCTGCAGCGAAAGAGGTAGAGGGAAGGTTCTGGTTTGTGTATCTTAAAAAAAAAATTGAGAGAACCTTTCACTTAGAGCTAATGATCTTGTCATGTCTCCACGGAACAAATGAAACATCCAACACCTAAACACCCAGGTACCATGAAAATACACCCTAATGGAATCTGTTCCTGTCTGTCAGAAAATCCCTGTGTGGCCTTGAACAAGGCAGCGACCACTTGGGTTTTAGTTTTCAGAGGGCTAGCCTCCAGCAGGCTTCTTCTGGCTGAAGATGCTGGGACTCTCCCAGAACTTTTAAGGTCTAGTTTCATTGATGAGACCATAGCCATTGTTGTAAGGTCTTATTTATCCAGTTTTCTGGGCTCTCTGAAGAGAATATTACAAAAGATGACTGTCCTCTTTGGGGCTATGTATTTCATTTTTGGGCAAACAAAATAGGAAATCGTATCCTCTAGGACTAAGGAAAGTTCCAGTGATCCTTTCCACCTACTTTGATCCCACGTATATCAATGAGAAACATGGAGAATTTGGTGAGAAATATTTAGGGTCTGATCTGTTAAAAACTGAGGTCATACTTATTTTTGTTCATTTGAAATGAGAACAGAGTGTACAGTCACTGAGACTTGACCAGGTAGTTTAAAAAAAAAAAAAAAAAAATGTTTGAAGAAGTATGTCCATGTAAAAAGAATGTCTAGAATGATTCAACCATTTTATTTTTTATTTTTTTGTAAGTGAGTCACGTCAGTGTTTGCCTTTCTCCTCTTTGCTTTTCCCTTCTCCCTAAGGACACAGATTTTTGTGGGTTTCTTTTTTCTTTCCCTTTTGGGTATAAACCAAATTTTACTACATTCAAAGATTGTTACAATGAAAAGAAAAAGCTATGACTAATTATAATGAGTGTTTTGTTTATGGCTCTCATCCTGATTTTTTAAAAATTGGCTATATGTCCAATGACAGTCTATTGGATGAAGAGGAGAAATCAAGAATGGAGAGACAAGAGCCAGACTATCTCCTTTTAAAGAGGCATTTTGGAAGGTCAGAATTGGAAAGAAGTAAGCCAGTTAAAATATTAGCTATTCTATTATAGAATAAACTTGTTTTGATATGAGTCAGCCCATCTACTTACCACTTTAACCCTTTAGGTAAGGAGATGACAAAATAATGTAAGTGGGCACTTGTATACAGAAGGAGCAAAATGTAAGCACATTTTGTGTAAGTGGTGATTCTAGATGAGTTGTAGCATTATGGTTTTTTTTTTTTCATTACAATTGAAAGCTTTTTGGTAATACCAATAACTAAAAAAAGCAGATCCAAGGACTGTTTCTAAAAGTGGGACCTGATAGAAGTGTGTACCTGTGTGTTTTTTACTGATTTCTGATGTAAGGAACATGAAAGCTAACCTGATTCATTTGTTTTTAGGGGCTCTTGGCTTTGGGCCTCAGTGCAAGTCCATTGGAAAAGGCAGCTGCAACAATCTAGTGGTCACCAGCAGCTCCATGATGGTTCAGCGACTGGGACCCATTTCACCTCCAGCAAGCCAGGTCTCTACAGCATGCAACCAGATCAGTCCTAGCTTACAGAGGGCAATGAATGCAGCCAACCTGAATATACCTCCTTCAGATACCAGGTCTCAAGTTACTTTTATTTCCCCCTTCTTATGGTATAATCATACCCTGTGAGTGTTTTCCCTTCTCTTCTTGAACACACACACACACACACACACACACACACACACGTGTGCGCATGCTCACTTGCTTAAGCTACCCTTTTAATTTGAGCTTTTTTAGGGGAATGTGTATAAAAATTAAGAATGTGCCATATCATCTTAATTGGGAGGAATAGTTTAACACCTGCTGCTTTGTGGTGTGAATGAAAGGAATGCCCAACTTAAGATGTTGGGACCTCATTGACTAAATTCCAGTGAATTAATTTGTCATTTCCTGGAGAGGCAAGTCATGTGTCAAGGCCTAGAAAATTGAGATGTTCACGTGCATCTATCGTACCTGTTCATTTTCAGTGCGTATGTTGCAGCATCTCCAGGCTGCTTTATAACTGTTTTGTCTATAAATCTATCCCCCCATCCACCAAGTCTGCATAGTATAATAGTTAAAGTTTAGGAATACAGTAGAAAAAAATGAAGATAGAAATCATGAATTTCAAGACTTTACGATGTGTCTGGGACAGCATATTTTCAAGTATAAGTTACATAACATTTCAACACAGTGTCCAATTAGGTGCTAGAATAAGTAGGTTTAATAAATGCTGTGTATCTCTACAGAGGAGGAAATTAAATAGGAAAAGTTAAATGACCCCTTCAGACAAATATATCTCTTAAGGTTGACATTAGAGGGGCATGAAGACAAAATGCTGTGCAATGTGTAAGGTCCGTTTCTATGTTTGAAATGAATTATTTTATCTTCTAGAAGTGCATTTTTGGAGAAATTCAATCCAACGTTTTTGCCTCTTAGTTCTGGTTTTGCAAAGGGATTTGACTCCTGGACCTGACCTGTGCTTCCTCTTGGGGAGGAGGAGCCTGGAAATCTACTCAAAAGCTTTGCAGTTCTGGGACCCTGTTTCTCCTAATTCCTCCTTCTTTTCCTTCTGTTCCTCCTTCCCCTTCTTGTCAACTCTGCACTTTCTCCTAGCTGCTGTTTGAGACTCAGAAATCATAGCTCCTGGATAATTTTTTATGCCATTTTTTTTTATTTTATGATAGGGAAACTTGTGTTTCACCTGAGATTTTTTTGTGAGGGGAAGCTGCTGCTGTCTATTCCCCATTGATGATTAATGCCTTGAGGGCCTCCTCAGACTTGCTGAATGTTGCATGTAAAATTAACTGTACTTGCGGGGTAGGTGTCATTGGGAAGCCTTCAGCTCCCTGTCCAGCCTATGCCTAGAAGGCAGAGAGTCATATAATTAATGGAGAAACTGATAGGTAGGACTAGCATGAGCTGCTGTAACCATCTATCTAATGCAGTCTCTTGGCCAGGGAACTGTTATTACGTTAGTGTTTTTTGGCATATTTGGTTTCTTAGCATAATTTTTATATCCTTAAAAGACAACATCTTAAAGATGCATGGACATATGTTTTTGACTATGTATTCTGTGAGTCCTCCTATTGAAATAATTCTTTTTGCAGGACGGGCAACAAACAAAAGTTGGAAAGGGGCTTGGTGAAGTATGAAACTTACTTTTAGCAATTTGAAAGGGTCGCATTTGTGATGATTGGTTTGTGTGTCCTATCAGAGGAGAGAAAGGACAGAAGGCAACAGTCAACTTGAAGGCATTTGCTGCCTAGAAATAAGGATGGAGAGAGAATGAGCTTTGTTTTTTATCCAACAGGAGAGTGTTGTGGAGAGGGGGCATGAACTGTTTAGTCTGAATAATGACTACCCTATCAAAAGTTGTAAATTTTATTGTTTTTCTTGATTATCTATGTAACTCATACTTATTATAGAAAATATAGAAAAGCACAAGGCAGTAAATTATAGTCATCCTGAATCTGACCATGCACAGGCAACCATGGATGGAATTTTGATATACAACCTTCTAGTTATATGCAAACACATAAGCACAGGTTTTCCTTTGTATCAGATTGATCTAATAATCTACATAGTTTAATAATTACTTTGTTTAGTTAATATAAATTCTTTCTTTTGTTACAAAAGTCTTCAGCATCACATAATGGCTTCTTTCTACCTAATAATTCAATTTTATAAATACAACTATACTTTTTTTTATCAGTCTTTTGTTACTGGGCATTTATTTTTTTCCTTTATTTAAGTATTTTAAGACACCATACTGACTCAATCCTGTAAATATTTTGTTGCTTATTTCTGGGTATTAGAATAACTTCTTAGAAGTAAGATTTGCTGGAAATGTATAGTTTTGAGCCTTGTGGTATGTATTCTTCAACATACTGCAGAAAAGATTTACCCATTTATATACTTACCAATAGTATTGAGAGTTCCTTCTTCCCCATATCTTATCAAATATAGGAATTATTATTTTTATTACTTTGCCAATTTGATGTACAAAATGTTGTTTTTTTTAAATTTGCATTTCTTAATTACTGATAACATTGAGTAGGTAGTAAAGATTTATTGACTGCATTTCTTCTTTTGACCCCCTTGAATATTTTTTTTTTTGGAGTGCCTCATCATGGGAAAAGCACTCTTCCTTTCCTGTATACTCCAATGAGAATCATGTCCTAATGCTGTATATTTGCCTTCATTAATTTCCCAACCATTTCTGACTAGCCCTACTTAATGAGAAATGCAAACTATACCTTACCCTCCTAAATATCCAGGAGCCATTCTTAATTTGGGCAGTGTAAAAACTGCAATACGGAGACCGTTGTATACTATATTTTCCCTAAAGTGATGAGGCTGAGGTGCTGATAGATAACCTCCTTACAGTCACTTCATATACAAATCTGGCAAAAGTTGGGAAGCAGAAGAGATTGCCTGAGTTTTGTATATGTTTAGTTTTGCTAGTGCTTTCACATCGATTGTAATTCTACATTTTCTGATTGAATATTTACAAACTTCCTGCAGGTATTACCATTTTATAGATGATGGACCCAAGACACAGAAAGTCTAAAAACTTTGTCTTTTATCACTTAGTTTTTCAGTTATAAAAGTTGAACCACCAATTTAATAATGTCAATCCAGGTCCAAAAAGGCACCAATTTTTCTCTCCTAATCCAGAATTTATTGAGGTGATTTCTGGGGATGGAATTTCCTAGAGTTTCCTTTTGGGTTGGACTGTGTCCATAAAGCTCAGAGGAGGCCAAGGTGTTGAGAATGGAGTCTGGGCTCTAAGTTCTAACATTTTATAAAGCCATTCTGTGTTTAGATGCAGCACTAATTCTTCTAGAGGATTTCTCTCTCTCTCTCTCTCTCTCTCTCTCTCTCTCAGTTTGAGGAATTGCACATGATCTATTAGTTAGTATTTCTTTTGATCTCGGCCTTGAACCAAGTCATTCACTTTGGCCATTACTCCTTTTATGGCCCCATGAGAGTTACTGAATTCTTGCGTCACTAGCCACCCTAACCTGTTTCACTGATAGTTTCTGAGTTTTTCATATTGGTTTTATTTTGTTTGAGCCATATTGCTTTTCTTTCACATAAAGCTCCAAATTAACCAGTCACCAGAAATAATATGCCAAGGATCAGATGACCATATGGAAATGGAGCTTCTTCCCCATAGGCCTGGTGTGTGCAGCAGCAGGGGCTATAGGAGAGAGTCCTTTGGAACCTTTCTCAGTCATTCAGTATATCGTTGCAGAAAGAGAACGATGGGTTTCAATTATAGCTTTTGTGACTTTAAGCCTGTTATACCAGGCCCTTTAATCAAGTAGAGTATTATGAACCATATGTGGGATATGATATGGGGAAATCAATGATGGATGTATGTGATCCAACTGGTAGGTGACTTGCCCATCAAATGCTGCTTCATTTTTACTTCTATAAAGATTTTTTTTTTAATCCTCATTAGAGGATATTTTTTTCCATTGATCTTTAGAGAGAGTGGCAGGGAGGAAGGATGGAGGGAGAGAGAAAAAGAGAGAGGTGGGGGGAAGAGAGAGAGATGTGAGAAAGACTGATGGATTGCTTGCCTCCCATTCAACCCATTCAGGGGCCTGGAATATAACCTGTAATCCTTTGGTATAAGGGCCAATGCTCTAACCACTGAGTGACACACCAGCCTGGGCTTCTATAAGGAATTTGGTCCTTAAATAGAAGTTATTTTGTTTATTATTTTAAAATAAATATTTATTGATTTCAGAGAGGAAGCAAGAGGGAGAGGGAGAGGGAGAGGGAGAGGGAGAGGGAGAGGGAGAGGGAGGGATGGAAGGAGGGAGGGAGGGAGAGAGAGAGAGAGAGAGAGAGAGAGAGAGAGAGAGAGAGAGAAAGAGACAGACATTAATGATGAGAGAGAATCATTGATTGGTCGCCTACTGCATGCCCTTCACTGGGGATCCAGCCTGCAACCTGGGCATGTGTCCTGACTGGAAATCAAACCATGACTTCCTGGTTCATAGGTCAATACTCAACCTCTGAGCCATGCTGACTGGGCTAAGTAGAAGTTATTTTACTTAGTTATTGATTATTTACTTTCTTAATCAACACTTTTTTGGAAACGTACTATGTTTCTAACACCCTAGTGGGTGCTGGGGGAGATGAAAATGATCCTTTTGTGGGAAGGCTTTGAATTTTATTGAGGAAGTTAGCTATGTTTCAGGCATAGTACAGACAGCCAGCATTTAACATCTTTGGAAAGTGGACTCTGACTGAGAGCTAGTGTATTTGAGGGAGATTATGGATTAGAACGCTGAAAGATAATTGTATGGGAGGTATGAGGGACAATAAGTAAATGCCATTTGTTGGAAATTTTATTCTTATTACACGTTGAGATAGAAAAGAGAATTCTTTATGAATATTATTTCCTTAGTGAGTAGAATATAGACTTTGCTTTCTGGGGAAAAAAAGTATATAATAACTCTCTTAGAAATTGATGTTTGAGGAGTTAAGGAACATGCCTGCATGGGGCTTATGCTCAGATTTAAATTGAATTGTAGTTAAGTATCATTTGAGAAAAGTATGAAATGTCTCTGGACAAAGGAACAAACATGTCTCAGTATAGGCAAATAATCTAATTGCATATACAGAGTACATACAAGTGGATAAAATACTTTCTGCCTGCTACTTGCTGCTTAAAATTCTGAAATGCTTTAGTGTGACAGTGACCAAGCAAACACAGCATTTGAGAATGTTCTGTAAACTCTCTCAACCTTGGGGCATAAAGCAAAGTCAGTTGTCTTTGCCTCATATATGACACAACCACTGATTTTTCTGGATCTCCCTGGGAAGGGACCAAAAGGTCCTTGACATTCAATCATCAGGAACCTTCACCTGAGCTCTTCAGGGAGAGCTGCACGCTGCAGGTGTGCTGGGAAAATAATTGAAAGTGTCCATGGGGAATTTAGAAACAGATGGTTTAGAAACAACTTTGGGGCTTGCAAAAGGACTTCAGCCCGAATATAAGGATGTAGACCAAGAAAAAAAAACCTATGTCAAGGGCAACTGGACGTACCTTCCTGCTGTGTTTGTCATTGGTAAACATTACTTTTCCTGATGGAAACATCACATCCATAATGGTGTTATCTATCACCTTATGCTGTGCATTTCAGAGCTGAGATATTTTCTGGCTAATATCTCATGCTTGTAGGAAACAGTGTTCCTAGTTTCCATGTTGTAAAAAGGAGCAAGAAGAGCAGATGGGGTGAGAATGCTTCTCTTTTCCCTCAGTTCCTTTGGCAGTAGTATATGGGAAAAATATATATACACTGAGTGGCCAGATTATTATGATCTCTGAATGCATAATAACCTGACCACTCAGTGTATATCCTATATAATAAAAGGCTAATATGCAAATTGTCCTTTCGACCAGAAGTTTGACCATCAGGCAGTTCGGCCAACTATCCATATCCCCTCCCCCTGGCCAGGCTGGCTGGACCCCACCCATGTATGAATTCATGCACCGAGCCTCTAATACACACACACACACACACACACACACACACACACACACACACTGATTGACCAGATTATTATGCATTCAGAGATCATAATAATCTGAAAACTCAGTGTTTATATAATTTTGTTTTTGATTAATTTTTTTGTCAGAAAAAAGATCTCTAAAATTCAATGTAGGTACATGTAAGTAATCCAGGTTTTTATGATACACTTCATGTCTGATTGAGAAATACAGTTATTTCCAGCTTGTGTAACAAATTTTCCATCCAAGGGACAAAGGTGTTTTTTTTTTCTTCTTCAGTGATTTTTAAGGTAATGATGCCATAGTAAAGCAAAATGAATTTTAAGGTGGTTAGGCTATATTAGAAACTATTTTGATATGCAGGTAAATACTGCTACATGAGGCATGCTTTAAAAAAGGGTAAGAAGAACAGAAGAGGGATTGTTGCCAAGTGAAGGGAGCATTATTATACATCTGGGATGACATTTTGACTTTCAGGATTTACTTTTTTTCAAGGCAAGCATGGGTTTATGTTTTACCTCACCAAATTGATCTTCCTCAAAGACTGGGACTCTGTGTAGACTTGTATTCCTTTCAGTGCCTATTTGTAGTGTTTTGCATTCAGTAGGTACATAATAAATACTTGCTTATTTGGTTTGCCTTGACACGGGCATCAATAATCATTCACAGGTCTCGAATTTTCCCCACATATAAAAAAAAATGTTTAAAGAATAAAGCAAGGACTATTTATTATCATTAAAGTATTAAGATTATGTATAACAATAGATCTTTTGTTTTATTAGTCCAGTGAGCATTAGCCTTTATTGTTCTTGGTAAAATGCTATTTACCTGGAACTAAAAGCCTGGGTGTTATCTTAGCCAAAGAATGTGTGTTTAGCCGAGAATGTAATTAGGGGAACTACTTAAGGGATTGTCAATGAAATGTTCTTTTAGCTCTTAAGCAATCTATATCCTGCTAAAATGTTTGTCTTTTTCTACCCCTTCTGGCTGCTGTTCTAGGTCCCTTATTTCACGTGAGTCTTTGGCGTCCACGACTTTGAGTCTGACGGAAAGCCAGTCGGCGTTGAGCGTGAAACAAGAGTGGACTCAAGGCTACAGGGCTCTCCCTTCACTCTCCGCCAACCACAGCTCCCAGAATGGCACCGACCTAGGGGACCTCTTTAGCCTTCCTCCGGGGACAGCCATGTCCAGCAACAGTGTCTCTAACTCTCTGCCGTCCTATCTTTTTGGCATGGAAAACAGCCACTCTCCTTACTCCAGCCCCCGCCACTCCTCAGCCAGGTCCCACTCGGCCCGCTCCAAGAAGAGAGCCCTGTCCCTGTCCCCGCTGTCCGACGGCATCGGCATCGACTTCAACACCATCATCCGCACCTCTCCCACGTCCCTGGTGGCCTACATCAACGGGTCCAGGGCTTCCCCGGCCAACATGTCCCCGCAGCCTGAGGTCTACGGACATTTCCTGGGGGTGCGCGGGAGCTGCATCCCCCAGCCGTGCGCAGTGCCCAGCAGCCAGAAGGGCGTGCGGGTGGCCGGCGGCGGCCTGGTGCTCCCGGCTTATGGGGAGGACTGCGCTCTGGAATACGAGCGCATGCAGCAGCTGGAGCACGCAGGCCTCCAGCCCCTGGTCAACAACATGGTGGTGCAGCACGGCCTGCCTGGGCCCGAGGGCCAGCCGGCCGGCCTGCTGAAGACGGAGCGCCTGGACGACTTCCCGGGAGGGGCTCTCGACCTGCCCTCCGCGTCTCCTCTGCCTCCTCTGCCACTCCAGCCCCAAGGCCCCCCTCCCCCCTACCATGCCCACCCGCACCTGCACCACCAGGAGCTGGTGTCCCACGCCCCGGCTCTGGCCCTGGAGGAGGACGGGGACATGGACGACGTGGGGGGCAAGCACTGCTGTCGCTGGATCGACTGCAGCGCCTTGTACGACCAGCAGGAGGAGCTGGTGCGGCACATCGAGAAGGTGCACATAGACCAGCGCAAAGGGGAAGACTTCACCTGCTTCTGGGCAGGGTGTCCTCGGAGGTACAAGCCGTTCAACGCCCGCTACAAGCTGCTGATCCACATGAGAGTCCACTCCGGAGAGAAGCCCAACAAGTGCACGGTGAGTCTTTCAAGGCCCTCGGGCGCCCCGGGAAAGTGCATGTGTTTTTCCAAAGTTGGCCGGCTCACAAGACAAGGGGCATTTTCTCCTTTTATGGGATTTGGATGGTGCGTGGAGGTCTAGGTATCCATGAGATTTGACTTCTCTTCAATGTGAGGACGGGGAACGTTTCTTTAATTATTAGCTGCTGAGTGTCCCTTCACTTCTTGATTCTGTCCTGCAAATGTAAATGACCCACCATGTCAGGGGACATTGATCTGCCACAATGTCCAAAGTCTCGGAAAATAGATGCCAGGAACCTACGTAAAGTTGCCGAAATGTGCAGGGCAGAGGAACACACACTGCGCTCCCAGTAAGCTTTATGTCTTTTTCAAAGCCAATATTTTGTGATTTTTCTTTCTCTCTACTGACCCGGCTAGTAATGGGGTTGGGGCGGGCTGGCTCTGATATTTGAAAGGAACTCCCATTTAGCCATTGGTTAGTAAACACCTCTTGCCTGTGTGGACCCTCTCATCTGCCTGCACACTGCACATTCTGGGATTGTGAAGCTAGTAAGTGATTTATAGCTGGCATAAAACACCCAGGGGACACCACAGGGACAGACTCTCATAGGATCTCACTGAATTTTGAAGAGAGAGAATTTTGTAAAGAAGTCTAGGGGAAAGAACCAAGAGGGAAATATGTCCCATTGGGGTTGAAGGAATTGAGCATGGTGTCTTTTTCCTCTGCCTCCCCTTTCACAACATCAATCCTGGAACTATCTGTGTTTCTTGGCAAAACTGGCTTTAATAATATGGCTCTGAAATGATTTCACAATCATCTCACACCTCACAGAAACCCTCTGTATTTATAAGCAGGACATCACCCTGGGGATCACAGATAGCTTTGCCCAATCTCAGACAGCTCACTTAACTTGGAAAAAAGAGCATGCGTTTTATATTTGTTTAATGGGCAGGATTATTTATTTTAGAGTTAAATCTGAGAATCATAGGCACTCCCTGGATATTGAATATGCTACAGGTCACTAAATGTGTGAAATATATAAATCATTTTTGAAAAGGTACTTATTTAGACCAGGATCCCCTAGACAGAATTCCTTCTTTCTGTAGTATATCTTGACGATAAAGCATCTGGACCAAGTGTATGTTTGATTATAGATTGGTCAAGTTGTCCCATTCATGTAAAAGCAAACCAAACAGATGATAGCTATGATGCAAGTATTAGGCGCAGTTTTTCACCATTCAGTATTTTTGAGTTTTAAGAATTTCTGGCAGAATAAAATTGCATTTCTTGTTGTTACATTATACCCCATGTTGTGATTTTTCTTAGGGAAAACCTGAAGCTGATACATTGTGAGACTGCCAGGTTATATGAGTGAAAAGAATAATTACATTCCAGGCAACAAAATGTTACTCTGTCAGTAGGGTTCTGCATTAAAAATGCCAGAAAGAGAAAGCAATTGAAGGCTATTCCATTTACTCTGCTTGGAACACACAGGCCTATTGCAGGCAGGAAAGACATTTAGTCTCTGAATGAAAACAGTCCAACCTTTTAGTTATGACTAATCCTGACTGAAAATAGTGTGCTGGATTTGGCTCTACTGAAAACAACAACAACAACAAAACACCCAAAACATAAAAAGGCTTAAATTATCCAAAAAATATTTTTTGCATTGCAAAATTAATTTTTGTGCACTAGGATTCCCCATTTTCCCACTGCTCTTAACTTTGCGAAGGCATATAACAAGTTGACTTTTGCTAAAGTGCATGATGACTATTAAAAATAGAAATACTTAAGTGGAAGAATAAGAAGTGGATGTTTGCATGCCTCTTCAAAGCTTTCCATTGCATTGTCTGGGATAGGTATGGGAAGTGATTTCTCTCTCCCCTAAACTGCCCACTTCCCACTTCTAAATGGAATCTTTGCAAAATTCAGATTGTGATATGTATTCCATGTCAAATTTAGAACCACAAAGCATTTACTTGCACGTGTTATAGTGCACATGTATTTATACAAAACAGGATTTCTTAGGAGCTAACACTGCAGTTCTAGTCTTGGGACTATGTATTTTTAGCAGGAAGACATCCATTTTCATATAACACATACATATCATGAACATTATGTCTTCTGAAAACTGTTATGTTGCTACATGTCATTTGCCTAACTTGTAAGGCCTAAACTAACTGGCAACAAATAATTTTCTTAGAAAAGTTAGCATTCTTCCAAAGTTGTAGTCTATGGATAGAAGACATTGTGCTTAATGTGAATGCACATCTGAAAAAGATGCATTTGTCTGCCTTTGGTAAAAACAGTGGTTACACTCTTAGAATTCAGACACAAAGAACTGTTAAAACCAAATGTTTCATCTCCTACTGCTTTGAAATCTGATGGTAATTGACTCAAAGCTCAAGATCCTTGCCAAGGAAAATGACCACATTCCCCTTTTGGAGACATGCAGTGACCTTTGGGTTTTTGTGGCTATGTCACATGCTGCAAAAGATAGGAGCACTTTAAATTGGTTCACATACATTTAACTGTGATTAATTTTCTGTGGACCATAGTTAAAGTTAGTCATCATTTTCACTCCCTTAGCTTACTGACCCTAGAAAGATGTAGTGACCCAATTGTGTTGGTGTCCATGGCTAAAAGCAGCACAGTGAGTATCTGGAGTCATGGTAGAAGAGAGTGTAGTGTGTGAAAGGGCTACTCAATGACAGCCTCCTTACAGTCAGAGGCTGCCACTGGTGTCCTCCTTTGATGCCAAATTCCATGTCATGCATAGGAGTCCCATTCTCAGAATCCCTGATTGTAACTCCTCAGCCTTACCCAGAACTCTGAGATTCCGACCACTTAAGGTTCTAGGTGGCAGAACTGGGACAGGATCATATTATTTGGTTAACTTACTGGAAGAAGAAATTGTTTCTTTTTCCTTCCCATCCAAGCAACGCCCCCTTCTGTATATCTCATCCTGTTGCTTCTATGAAAAGTCAAACCAGGTGCTATCTTTCCAGGCCTGGCCCGCATTACAGAGATACACCCAGCCAATGGCCAAGGCCTTGAGAAGTAAAGGCCTTGTTAGGCAGACAGGCAGAACTCAGTTAAATCAGAAAGTGGCATATGGAAATGTTATCTTAAAAATATCTGAGTCCATTCATTGCTGTTTACTAATTCAAGTAATTCCTAGGTGCAAAATCGTTCTATTTAAACCTTCCTGAATTTAGACAAACCCCAACGCTGATGAATTTTGGAATTAAGAGAACTTTTCAGCATTTCTGGGTATGATTGTGCTAAATTTTGTTAGGTTTTTCTGAGATGATAAGGTTTCAAATTCCCAAGTTAGAACAAGTTTTGGAGTCTGAATTTCTTTTCATATTCCTAAAAGTGTAACACAGAACTATAGATGTACACTAACCATCTCTAACAGTATCCATAGTAATGGTTCCAACAGAGTGTATGCTGAGCAAAGTAGGTCTTTTTGCTATTAAGTTGAAGAGTGTGCAATGCTTGGGTAGCATTCCCAGGAAGGTGTGTCTTGAATGAGCTGAAGCTTGCTCAGCCGGCCAGTATGCCTCATGAGAAAGCCTATCTGATGGGAGCAGAGTAAGTAGAGGGACAGGATCCTGTTGCCAGGATTAGGAACACTGATGGCTTCCTTCATACACAATAGAAAGCAGTTGTGCTGGGAGGTTAGGGAGTGTTAATAAGGGAATTAAGGGGAATGTGGGTCACCACTTAAATTTTGCTTGTTTTTCCTGGATGAATTTTATCCAATAGCAAAAAGGAATTTTGCAAAACTTTTACCCACCCACAGATTTTCACGAAAATGTCACTGACCAAAGACAGCTTTGAATTTTGTATGAATTGACTCATTTCTCCACAGGCATTTTGCCTGGCAAAATCCAGAGTATTTGCTTTGGCTTGAATACTGGACAAGTTTGCTTTTTAAGTAACATTGGATTATGAGTACAAGAAAATAAATACAGAGCTAGGCCATGTCCCCATTCCTCTTTAATGGCCTGATTTATGGGTTCATAGGCCAGCATTAGCCATGAAAGACATTTCTTGAGGAAAAATAAATTCAGTATAAACCATGAAAGTTTTTTTTCTACATCCTTTATTTTGTTATTTTGATAAGACTTGGTGTTGATGTGGTGACCATGATAATACAACCAGAAGAGACCTTAGGAAAATGCCATCTAAGCATAATTATTAATTATCATTCTGCAAGCTTCATTTTGGTGCAATTAATAAGTTCTTATATTGTCAAGTATTGATGAAAGTACAGAGAATGGGGGATGCTTTTATATTGCTGGCAAGAGTAAATTGGTGTAACTACTTTGGAAAAAAATTGGAAATATCTAGGAAAGAAGATGAGGTTATCCAACAAAACCATGTCTAAGTTTCTTCTCTACCTATTGAAACTCTTACATATGGTGGCAGGGAGACACACAAACAGGTATGTATATCGCCTCTGCTTTTAAAATGGTAAATTAACTAAGTATCCATGGATAAGGTAAATCGATATATGGTTTATTCATAATAAAATAGTATAAGGGAGTTTAAAATTAATGAACTAGATATAAATCTCTATATAGATTGAATAGAGAGATGCTAATATGGATAAATCTCAAAACACCATGTGAATGAAAACTTATATGCCAAAAGATATACACAGTGTAATACAATTTATATACCTTTAAACAAACACTAAACAGTATTATATAGTCATTGTAGGTACATAATCACTTGTGTACATTAAATTGTTGTGGTCGAGATAAACAGTAACAAAAGGATAATGGATACTTCTAGAGAGCAAAGAAATAGGATATGGGAATTTTGTTTTATCTATTTTTCCCCCAAAAAAGTGAGAGAACTGAAACAAATACAGCAAAATATCAATTTCTTTTTAACTTGGTGGTGGTAACATAGGTATCACAAGTATCTTAAAATAGTTTATATGCTTTGCTGCCTGTGTTGAAATATTTCATAACTATAAGTAT